TATTTTTTGTTCCCTGAGGTGTCCTCACAGACTGCTCTAGTGTCTGGCATATAATAGTGTTGAATATGTATTTGTTAAATAAATATTTATCCTAGTTTATAGATCGATCTCTCATGTATCTGCACACAAGAAACCAATCACCTGTCTACATCGACACATTGGACTTCTCAGTTATGCTAAACATGTGGCCAGCCTCTGGGGATCACACTTCTTCTGTCTTGCTCTTGTAACTGCAAATATTTTGACTTTTTCTATAAAATCCATTTTCTTTTTTTAATTCCAAGCATTTTATTTTTATATGGTTCTTCAAAATCTCTTTGGAGAGAAAAAGTTTGCTTTCACATTTAAATAATCTTAATTGCATTGTGTCAAACAGCCCTGAAATTCTTAATTTTTGGTTTCAGGCATTATATCATCTAGCGATAACTCATATAAAACAGAAGCAGTATGAATATCATAAATATGCCCTGATGAAGAAACTGAGACATGAAGAGGCTAAATAGATCACCCATGGCCACAAGTCTAAGCGGTAGAGCTGGAATTTGGACTCAGGGGTTTTGATATCAGAAATCATGTTCTTGACTATAGGTTTTAAAGTTGAGTAGTTGATGATTATAAATAGCTTATTAAGGTAATGCTGTTAGATATGCCATTGGGCACTGGGAGTACAACGATGAAACTTACAGTCTAGTGGGGAAGATAGGTCAAACAGATGTCATATTATGTGCCAAATAAACTCAGCATAATAAATACACTAGTGGTGACATGTCAGACTATTATGAGAAGAGGCAACAGAAACACCTAAGCCAGTTAGGGGAAGTCAGAAAGGCTTTCTGAAGAGGTCAGCTGAGCGGGAGCTAGCCATGAGGAGAGGAGATAGGGCAAGTGAAATACTTTACAGACAGGTAAAGATAATGCAGGCAAAGGCATCAGAGAGTTTAGTATGCTGAATCATAGAATGCAAGGTGGAGATGATGTTAGGGTTCAGACCTTGGAGGGCCTTTGGATAATAGCAGATTCTGGACTTAATTCCAGTAGTGAAGGGGGAGCCAGTCACGAATTATAAATAGGACAGTCACATAAGCATGGATATATTTTGAACAGTCCCAGAGGCAATTTGGAAATGGATTTGAAGGTCTATTAGTCAAAATAAGCCAGGTTGTGCTATGGTAACAAATAAATCTCCAAATCTCAGCAAGTTGATGCAATAAAGAATTATTTCTTAAACATCCAAAGTTGGAAGCAGGCTGCGCAACCTGTCTCCATCGGGTAGCTGTACCATCTGACCGTCTGGAATCTGTGTCCTTCCATATTACTGCAGCAGATGAGAGAGCTGGAGGGTGTATTACAAGGTGTTTTAATGGGTTGGGACTAGAGGTGGCTTTCACTGATTCTTCCCATATCTCATCATCCACATGACCCAGTATAACTGCAAGAGGCCTTAGGCAAGCACCGAGAGTGTACCATTCTTGTTTATAATAGGTCGAATACACCTATAAATTTTTATTGTGTTGTGTGAGAAAACAATAATTGTTTACTTACTTATTCCATTCATTCAACAAATGATTTTTTGAACATCTACTAGGTACTGTCCTAAGTCATAAGCACGGTCACTGCCATAAATACCAGGGGTATGGCATTTGCTCATATGTGCAAGAGGGAGAGAATTAAGAATAAGGGGGGTGGAAAGTGTAACATGGGCCAGGTTGCATGGGGTTTTGCAGGTCACTGTAAGGACTTTGAATTTGACTTAAATGAAGGGCCTTTAGAAAATTCTGGGCAGATGAGTGACATGATCTGACTTACTGGCCAATAGGATCACTCTGGCTGCTCTGATGAGAATAGACGTAGGTGGAAGGGTGGAAACACTGAGCTCTACTGGGAAGTTCTGTAGTAACCCAAGTGAGCAATGACGGCAGGTGGGACCAGGCTAGAGACACAGAGCTGGTGAAAAGTGGTCAGATCCTGGGTGTATTTTGAAGTTAAGGTATTTAATTTTAAAGGTAAAATCATCAGAATTTGAAGATAGATCAGATATGTGGCATGAGACAAAAAGGCCTTACCTTGAGCTACCAGGAGAACGGAGTATAGTCAATGGATGAGGGGAGATGAGCCTTTAACATTTGAATTATTTCTATATGGCTTCAGAAGGGCTCTAGGGAATATCAGTCTCCTAAACTACTCCCATCCTATGCATGGGTCTTGTAGAATTTCAAATGATAACAATGTTAATGGAATTCTTTTTTTTTTTTAGATTCAAAGCTTAGCTCCAAACATTCCCTCCATTAATAAGATTTCATATAAAATCTGCAGATCTATCTACCTGAAAAGAAAACTAATTAGTAAGCAAATTATGTAAATATCTTTTTGGAAAGCTACGTCAGAAAATATTAAGATTTATTTTGATGTGACCCTATTCATTTACTTTTTGTTAGAGCATGTTTGCTTTATAGGATCTGACTATGAGGATCTCTTATAGAAATAAACAACTTAATTTGTTTATTATCATTACTATTTATGTGTTAGAAAGACACTAAGTAAGGTATGCCACTTGGTGTGAATTGCAGACCAGGAGGTGACAAAGATTCTCTGGCCAAACTTTGGTCAGACTCTTCTGAGCTCTCTTTTTAACTAGATCTCAACTTTTGGGCTTCCGTGATAGTTTCTACATTGTCCAATTTTAGCAAGAATCCTGCTATGTCATTTTAACTGGAATACCTCATCCTCAGTATTTGATCACCCTTTGATATCTGATCAAGTTCTCTTCCTCTACCATCCCCCAGTTGGTATCTGATCACTATGGTCTGCCTTCAGCAAGATTCCTGTTAGATTGGTTTAGCCAGAATCCCCTTTATCCTTAATTTACCTCTTAGTAATTTCCATTCGGTGACCTCTGCCCTTTCCTATAACCACTCCCTGATCCCACCTCAGCTCCTTGGCTATACATTCCTGCTTTTCCTTGTGGCAACAGGAGTTGAGCCCAGTTTCTTTCTCGTATTATACATCCCCATTACAGTAGCCCCCTGTGTAATTATCACTATAGTCCTCCTTGAATAGTCTTACTGCTCTTTAACAAGGGTCATGAATAATTTTTTCTTTAACAGAGGTCCATTTTTGAGCTGAATTTTAATGAAGCCCGGGAGTTCAGGAAGAGTATTTTAGGCATATAGAACAGGATATATAAATGCACGAATGTGAAAGAGGATGGTCAGTTTGTGGAAATTAAAGAATTTAGTGCTCATAAGAGCAGACCAGTTTGGTTTGGGCTGTAAGGAGTAGAAATTGAGATTAGTAAAGTCTAGTAAGATTGATTATGAGGTTATACCTGAGTACTTTATGTGGTATAATAAAAAGGTTTGATTTTATCCTTTTGGTAAAACAAAGAAAATGATGTTGAAAATGTAGAAGAATTGAAAATGCCTTGTGAGAGGAAGACAGAGAACACAGACAAAGGGAAGCCATTAAGAAGCCACCCATTGGAGGAGGACAAGGGAAAGTGAATTTAATCCCTAGAAATCTCAGAGAACCAAGTTTCTAAACTGGAACATATCTAGCAGAGTTGATAAGCTAAAATTGGGAACAAGTATGTGGTTATATTTTGTTTTTCTTATAAAATGCCAAACTCCAGTTTAATTTTTTTCTCCTATTAGGCAAAGGAATCAGTGAGAAAGATATAATACTATATGAAACCTAGTTTGAAACCCGTCTTGGAGGAGTCTCACTTACCTCATCCAACATTTGCTTTCTAGAGTTTGTCCCATCTAAGTAACTAGAGAGTCCCGTGGGTAATTGCACAGTTTGCAATATCTAATAGAGCACTGCATTCCTCAGGGAACAGGACAGGCAATAGATACATTTTGAGAAGCCATCCCCAAACACTAATTTTATAAATGTAACAGCAATATGCAAATTAGGATGTGCATTAGCAAACTTCAATACAACAAAAAGACAATACAACATAAAGAGGGAAGCAATATATGAAACTCACATAGCCAAGAAAAGATTAGTATCCAGCATATCTTTTAGAATTTTCTACAAATTAATAAATAAAAGACAGGCAGGCCAAGAGAAATATTGGCAAAGAATTAGTCAAATCTCAGAAGGTAAAACTCAAGTGTTCATTGAGTATACGTGAGTGCATTAGCAAACTTCAATACAACAAAAAGACAATACAACATAAAGAGGGAAGCAATATATGAAACTCACATAGCCAAGGAAAGATTAGTATCCAGCATATCTTTTAGAATTTTCTACAAATTAATAAGTAAAAGACAGGCAAGCCAAGAGAAAAATTGGCAAAGAATTAGTCAAATCTCAGAAGGTAAAACTCAAGTGTTCATTGAGTATACGTGAAATTGCTCAGACTCATCAATATTGGAACAGTGTTCATCTCTAACAAAGACAAAAGGGAGAGGGATGGAATTTGGAAGAAGTACAAGGTAAAATGCCATCTTATATGTAACATGGAATGTTTTTAAACAATAAAGAACACAGACATATTGCTAAATGTTAACATGTGGTTATTTGGGTGGTAAGTATATGTATGTTTGATTTACCTTCTCTCTTTCTTTCAGATTTTTGAAATATTTCTTAGTGATAAATTAACATATATAACAATTTTACCATCCTGTTCTTCCATCTATCACTTTTATTAGGTAAACTAATAAGGGAGGTAAGATGGTAAGGGAGGCAGTGCAAGTTAGGGGAAGTCTTAGGAACAGGAGTGGAATCCTAATGTCTAGTCCCAAATTTGCCACCTACCCACTGTATGACCTTGAGAAAATCACCTAAAACTTGAACAACAATATCTGTCTTTATGACATAAAGTTATTGTTAAGAGTGAGTTAGCTCATGTATATGCAAGTGATGTGAAGACAAGATATGGAAATTATTAGATCTGTGTGAAATTAAATGAGCATATTTTCCCATTTACTGTCATTCTAAACTTACAGAAACAGACAGAAAAGTAGGGATCATAAAAGGTACACATCTTTTCTTACCGGGTCTGTTAGCTGGTAATAGAGTTCATGGCAATTGTCAAAAATATACTTGTAGGTAGAATCCAGGCAAGCCCTGACACAGTCCTTCACCACCATGCTGGCCTTTGGGGGGCTTTGCAGTTCCAGAACCTGATAGACAAATTATTTTCTTAAACACAACAACAGAACATTGTAATCCAGTATAAACAACCTAAATGATATTTAATAACTGCTTTTAGTTGATTTTTTATGTTTAGGAAATATCTTAGAATGTGGTTTTAAATATGTAAATATCTATTTTAACTTCCTGATATAACAATTTATTGAAAATGATCACGGTTGTAAACATTCCAATAGAAACACTTAAAGTAACTAGTTATGGCCTCATTTATTCATTCATTCCATTTCATTCCATCATTCAACAAATATTTATCACTTACTACACGTATATGCCAGATAATTGTGATACTACAGTGAACAAAAGAAAATTTCCTTTCCTCATGGGCTTAAATTCTTGTAGATAATAAACAAAACAAATAAGTAAAATATATTATATAGTGATGCATGTGGAAAAGAA